GTGGAACGGCCCTGGATGCTAAAGGTTTGATTACGTTATCACCTAGTCACGGGTATTCACGTGTATTCGTTTTACGGACTACCCACCTTTATCAGCGGTTTAACACAACGTACTTTAATTAATGAACAGGGTGATTGTGGATGTTGTTTCAGAGTTTAATCTCATACCAGAGTTTGGAATAAGAGGAACGCGGTCTGGTTAGGAAGCTACAACATCTGGCCAGAGAGTCCAACAGCCCTGATGTGCGAGGGTTGATTGATGAGTCCTATGCCTCACAGGCTCGCAGAAGGATATGCGTAATAGTGAAATCTCCCATACTTTAACAGTGGTTTGACAGTCGTAGCGCTATGATTGTTTGTGGGGCCCCGGACTACAAAATATGTCGCAGTGGGTTTCAGTTGGGTGATTATAACATGAGTCTTGGTTGTTATAGATATGAGTATTTATAGAAATGTTGAGTCACTAAAGAACAGCCCAGAACAACGATTAAGCTGATGTTATTGTGAGTCAAACAGCATGTCTACAATCATTTGGATTGAAAGGCCCTTCTATATAATCACTTTAAGTGGTATTATAAACCTCTGATGTCGCCACACAACAGTACATGTAACAGGAGGTTCTTCTTAATGTCCAAGGTAAACTTCCAAGGTAGGCAATATCAACTATACCCGAGACCTGCTGAATACATTACAATTGTAATACCTAGGTTTTACAATTAACGTTTCGTTAACTTGACTCTTGATGTGAACACAATTGTGTTTGATGATTGGTTAAAAGTCACATTTTTTTATCATGAAAAGTCCATGACGTGAATCGAACCTACAGCCTCGTGTTAACATGTGTAACCCAAGGTGTTTTTTTGTGTGTTTTTTTTTGTAACCCAAGGTTATCCCACTGTGCGTTAAAGGGTTCGTGCGGCTGCATTTGATGAGATGGAGGTGGCGTTACGCCGCATTTGATATTGATGCTTATCGCGAGTGTCACTAGTGGACAAGCGGATATACGGACAAGTAGAAGGGGTTTGCATGGTCCCTTCAATGTCTACATAACGAGTACACAGCAGTTTATAACAAAAAAATTAAATTCATAATCAAATATATGTTGTGTTCACCAAACAGGTATAAACCTGAGCCGTCCCTATACACACGAAAATAGGTAACAGATGTGTCACGCCTGGTTTCTCTATTCAAATTCGAACAATGGCACATTATATGGAGGTTCATGTAGCGTAAGAATTTGTATGGCGTCACATAATAGGCGTGTCCATAATTACTCTAATGGTGTTTATTTGGTTTTGGTTTAAAAATGTAAAACTTTGACTTCGGAGAAAAAGCCCTCGCTTGCAGTTTTACATTTTCAACCAAAACCTCGGAGGCGTACTTGTTGCTGTACTTATTCCGAGCTTTCCTTTTCAATCCCTTCAATGTGTTTCGACAGTCTTCACTTGGATCGACTCTGTCCGGATTCAACAGGATCGCTATAGAGGCGACTAACGGGATCGGGTGGTCAGGCTCGCTGACTTGGTTGATGCATGTCATAGAATCCCAATTGCGTAGATCGATGCTCATGATTTCAATGACAGGATTTTATGGTCCAAACTTACTCCCAGTTGAAATATATTCCTATGTAAGGGTATTGGCCTACAGCTCTCTGCCACAAATGTTTGGATCGAAAATGCATAATGGAGACATTGTTGTTATTTATTTTATATCTCAAATCAAAGTGTCGTAATGTACTATCTAAACTCCACCTTCCGCATTCGCCGCCCTCCCTAGCAACCGTTGCTGGCATGACATGCCACCGGTAGACACGAACGTGAAGAGCTGCTGGAATATTGCTTGACATACAGGGAAAGTTTGAAGGGGAAGTCATCTCTCTTGTCATACATTCTTTTGTCACATCGAAGAAAGGTTTGCATCTGGGAGAGTTTCCAAAGCCTGTTAGTTTGTCTGATGTTTGACACCACCATTCGTGACCAACTCGTGTTATTCCGTGACAAGCCGAATAGCGACTCGTGCCCCTCTCATTGCCATTTTTGCGACCGGGTTCCATCTTAGCGCAATCGGGCATACATAAAATAATTGTCAACTCGTTGCGTAATTTCCCCATATATTACATATATATTTCAGATGCAATTTAAAGCACACCGGGACATGCGGAATTATACAGTATGATTGAACACATTTAACTGTGTCTTTGGTATAATTTTAGATGCAAGACATATGTAACATCAAAAATTATTTCTGAGGGATTCTTTGACAAAGAACTTGAAATAATACGCGCATTCTGATTGGTTTGTCGTATTTTCGCACATCACATTCATCGATAGGGGGACGAGTCTTCTTTCAGGTTACGGAAAGGGGCGAGTGGTGACGAATGTGACACCACATTCAATATTCCAGTTATATAACGTCGGTCTGTGTATAATCGAGTCTGGACCAGACAATTCACAAGGGATTTATTTAACTGACTATGAAAGTCCAGTTTCCACCCTTGCCAAGCTAAGCTGGCATTACTGGCTCGATCGTAGCGCCACCAGTGGTTATTACGAGTTGTGTCCCTCCTACGCCTCCCCTTTTGACCAATCAGATTCCGCCTCTTGTATCACATTTGCTTCAATCAAAATGGCGGCGCTCAGTCAAGATGATCTGATCAATAATCATGATCTATATTGTGATAAAACTGGTCTTACATCGGAAATGCATCAAATTACCAGAGCACATTAAATCATGAAAAGATTTGGAAAATATCTGTTGACGCCGGGTTGGCGGTGCACATGCTTTGCAAATCCTGCAATAGACCGAAATCTGCACGATAGTTTACAAACCAGATTTCGATTTCGTTACGCGATTTTGATTGGAATATGCATAGTCTCGTTAGTCCAGCCAAAATTTATCTCCATAATACCAGCCTAGTTCGGCAAGGATGGATACAGGACTTTTAAAGTCAGTTAACACACTTGCCTCGGGGACATGGACAATCCAATGCCTGTACGTACACTAATATACATCTAATATGTGCTATAATCAAGATCAAGGGAACATCGAAAACGTCTAAGATCTGCATAACCTCGGGCTCTCACACTCTCCTCTCATCACCTCGGGCTCTCACTCTCTCCTCTCATCACCTCGGGCTCTCACTCTCTCCTCTCATCACCTCGGGCTCTCACTCTCCCCTCTCATCACCTCAGGCTCTCACTCTCCCCTCTCATCACCTCGGGCTCTCACTCTCCCCTCTTAACACCTCGGGCTCTCACTCTCTCCTCTCATCACCTCGGGCTCTCACTCTCCCCTCTCATCACCTCGGGCTCTCACTCTCCCCTCTCATCACCTCGGGCTCTCACTCTCTCCTCTCATCACCTCGGGCTCTCACTCTCCCCTCTCATCACCTCGGGCTCTCACTCTCTCCTCTCATCGCCTCGGGCTCTCACTCTCCCCTCTCATCACCTCGGGCTCTTACTCTCCCCTCTCATCACCTCGGGCTCTCACTCTCTCATCACCTCGGGCTTTCACTCTCCCCTCTCATCACCTCGGGCTCTCCCTCTTCCCTCTCATCACCTCGGGCTCTCACTCTCTCCTCTCATCACCTCGGGCTTTCACTCTCTCCTCTCATCACCTCGGGCTCTCACTCTCTCCTCTCATCACCTCGGGCTCTCACTCTCTCCTCTCATCACCTCGGGCTCTCGCTCTCCCCTCTCATCACCTCGGGCTCTCACTCTCTCCTCTCATCACCTCGGGCTCTCACTCTCCCCCTCTCATCTCCTCGGGCTCTCACTCTCCCCTCTTAACACCTCGGGCTCTCACTCTCCCCTCTCATCACCTCGGGCTCTCCCTCTTCCCTCTCATCACCTCGTGCTCTCACTCTCTCCTCTCATCACCTCGGGCTCTCACTCTCTCCTCTCATCACCTCGGGCTCTCACTCTCTCCTCTCATCACCTCGGGCTCTCACTCTCTCCTCTCATCACCTCGGGCTCTCGCTCTCCCCTCTCATCACCTCGGGCTCTCACTCTCTCCTCTCATCACCTCGGGCTCTCACTCTCCCCCTCTCATCTCCTCGGGCTCTCACTCTCCCCTCCCATCACCTCGGGCTCTTACTCTCCCCTCCCATCACCTCGGGCTCTTACTCTCCCCTCTCATCACCCCGGGCTCTCACTCTCTCCTCTCATCACCTCGGGCTCTCACTCTCTCCTCTCATCACCTCGGGCTCTCCCTCTCCCCTCTCATCACCTCGGGCTCTTACTCTCCCCTCTCATCACCCCGGGCTCTCACTCTCTCCTCTCATCACCTCGGGCTCTCACTCTCTCCTCTCATCACCTCGGGCTCTCCCTCTCCCCTCTCATCACCTCGGGCTCTTACTCTCCCCTCTCATCACCTCGGGCTCTCACTCTCCCCTCTTAACACCTCGGGCTCTCACTCTCCCCTCTCAGTACTTAACTGGAATACTTGAACTACTGTTAACGTTCAAGACGGCGTTGATCCCAACTCACTCATGTATTGTATCTGGTGTTTTTTATTAGTATTTTCAAATGAACAATGGTAAAATATGTGTTGGTTTAACACTCCGTTATTAATTATAAGTATGTATATTCCACATGACCAAATCGGGCGGTGTGGTAGTCCAATTGTTACAGCGTTGGCGCGTCACGACGATGGCGGGTTCGATTCCCCTTATGGATACAAAACGGACGTCCAGCTTCCGCAGTCGTGATGTGGCTGGGATTAGGCTGGGATCGCAAACTCACTCACTGTACAAAACCAATCCGGACAGTGGTGTCTGAGTGAGTGAGTGAGTATGGTTTTACGCCGCTTTTAGCAATATTCCAGCAATATCACGGCGGGGGACACCAGAAATGGGCTTCACACATTGTACCCATGTCGGGAATCGAACCCGGGTCTTCGGCATGACGAGCCAACGCTTTAACCACTAGGCTACCCGACCGCCCCTGTGGTGTCTGAAGACGTTTCATGTTGAAATGTCATGGCAATAAGTAAACACTGGAATTCCTTTCATATTTTATTAAAAATATCCCACTGTGTAAATAAATACTTTATATTTTCATTTATGTCCCTCGAACATTGCGCAGCATGTCCACAATGAGCACCCACAAACACATCAAAACACATCACAACTCATAACAGCCATTTTCACTAATACTAACAGAAGGCAAGTCATTAACTCGAGTGCAAAAAACATTCGTGATCGTCTTCAACTTAGACTTCCGTCCGCTGTCAAAAAACAATATATACTGAACAAAAAACCGTTATGGATCGTGATTTTGTGTGCTATATCATAAAAACATCACAAAACATATTCAAAATCCCTAACTTTTTTTTGTTCAATATGTATTTGATGAGACAATTTTATATCTAATATTCACAAGGTTTTCTATTACAATCACAATAACGGCCTGGTGCTTTGTTTTACCTATTCTTGTGCAATCTATTCCTTGCCTCTAATAACTTTGTTTCCGAAAGTGGAAAATAATAATCACAAAAGAAGTCTTTTCCTTTCTTACTGTCCAAATCCTTACCCGCTTTGAAGGGGTGGATATAATGCGAGTCCACGTTAAACGCCTCCAGGTTATTTGACCTGTTCTCCCTCCACAAACTTTTCCCCTTGAGGTGAACAGCGTCTTTAAAGTTGACCAGACCAGCATGCAACATCGGAATTGCGAGTGCAAGCAGGGTATTATGTTTCCTAAACATCTTCCCAAGTCTGATCAATTCTGCATTATACCGAGCAGGCGCGTAAAACACGTCAATCGATCGATGAACAGCCCTGTTAAGATGCACATTTTTACCATATTCCTTTAAATAATTATTCAAAATTGCATCATTGGGGTTCCTCTTCACGGAATCTTGAACATCATCCATGAACAGATTCACAGCTTTCCTTCCTATGGGTTTATTCCAATAGTACCACCAGTATTTGCTTGTCCGATTCCGTTCGACATAGCTTACCGGCATTGGCATCCAGAAAGTGTCTCGTGGGAGATCGATGACGTTCCAGTGGTTGAGGAGGAGGTCGTCGCCAACGTAGAGATAACCCTTCACATTAAGTCTCATATTCGCGGCATGGACGAGGCACTTATATAGAAAGAACCACGAGTCTTTATCCACACCTTCAACGTATGTAATATGTTCCATATTCGTCTCTTTGAGAATTTTGTCAAACCCGGGATAGCTTGGGCCACAATATAAAATATGTCTGAAATATCTCCTATGAGAAAATTCTAGGTACGCGAGATTTTTATGAAGGAATTCGTAATTGAATATCACCACTAACATGATGTCCGTTATTGGTGCATTGAGCCAATCCGAGAGGGTGTACTTCAGTTTGGGACACGTGTCGTATAGTTTTTTGAAAACGTGCTTTGAAATATGCTTTTGGGTTGAGTCGGTTCCTAACAGAATCTTTGCTGGGATGACCCTTGACGATGCATATGTTAATTGTGGGTTCCACTGGGTAGGATTGGAATCAACATCCGCAATGGTTCTTCTCGTTGGTTCTTTGAGGTTGAACTTCTTCAAGTCTGTGACCCATGCGTCGAACAAGGCTTTGTCTTTCTTGGACAAAAACGAATGCTTCGCAAGGTGATCAACAAGTGATTTTGCACACGCAAACGCGCTGAAACTCGGAATGCATTTCCAGTTCTTCAACGAACTGATTAAATTTTCGGTGATCTTATCTGTTGACTGCTTACTCACCACAAATTTGTTGTTGCCGGTAGGGGGCGTTAGAGAATAAGCTGTTGAGGACAGGAAGCCAGTGCTACCGCCTATTTCCGCTAAGAGTCTTTGCGCAAAGTACCCTCTCACCGTGCTACAAGAACCTTTGCATTTGGTAGGCAGGAACATAGTCAGAAATGATTTGTATAGGAACACGGTGTTCATCGAGCCGATTGGTCCAAACCTATTGCCAGACAGACAGACAGGTGGAGAAGACCGGTCAAATGTGATGTTGTGGTCCTTGGTCAGTTTTAGATAAGAAACGTCTTGTTTTCCTAATATGAAATTCACTTGGCCTTGTTGAATGAGTGGAACCTCTATGTCCACTAAACGGTATCGATGAGGACCCTTGACATATAGCGCGCTCTCGGGGAAACCCCGGGGGAATAACATGGGGTATCCAAAATGACCATATGGATTAAAGATGGGGCCATCAGCGAATGCCAGGCTAGTAGTGTTGCCGGACATTGCGAAGTCCACACGGTTGAATTTCGGGACAATGTGACACTCGGTGTCGTAGATGACATTGGCTCCCTTGGAGATGGCGTACAGGTAACCAATCATCTTCATGCTGTCTGAACTTCCTGGGAGGAGTTTGGAGATGGCATAGCCTAGGGATTTCACTTTACCAGAGTTGAGGTAAGTACATCGAGAGGTGCTGGACGGTCTGTAATAACAAAATGAACAAAATTATTAATTCTAACTAGTAAAAGGTGAGTTTTGAACAGTATTTCCGCTATATCATGGCGTGTCAGCGTAATGTGGGAGGAAAGCCCGAAGTGTGTATCTCTGACGTTTATCACTTTGATGAAACCCACGAGCACGGAGATGGTGATGACAAACCTAGAAACATAATCAGGGAGAACCGAGAGTCGAACCCACAATCATAGGTTTCTGGCGTTCCCAAGGGACGCAACACTGCATTTTTCGCATTCACTTAAAGATGCCATGTATGTCTTGATGAGGGAAATGATCAAGCACCCATACTGTCGACCTTTAGAGACTGCTACTTGTTGAGATTGAATTGAATTAAATTCTGACAACAAAACCTAAAACGAAAATAATAAGTCGTGACTACACACATCGATGTTCATAATTATTGTGTATTCAGGAAAAATAACTGATACTTACTTGCAGCCTTTCGGAGTCTTACCGACGACCACCACTTTCCATTCAGGTATTTTGTTGAAGTGCGTGACGTCACATCCGGTTGAAGAAAGCACAACTATCCAGCTCTCAAGTTGTTTTGTCACAGGACTGCAAATGATGTTTTACAATGTTGGTTAACAAACAATTTTATTAAGATGCAAAACGTCATATATACAAACAGACATACAACCTGTATTTATCTAAATTTCACGAAATACATCCACTGCAATTGCAACTAAATATGTTTATTGTGATATGACAATAATGGGGGTCTACCTCGTCCTGGGTGGTTGTGATTTAGTGGTGGCTTTGGAATCTTGAATTATTTGCTGTTGCCTGTTCTGTTGTTGTTGCGGATGGTGCTGTTGTGGTTGTACTTGATGTTTATCTGATGCGATAATCGGTTCCATTTGCTGGTAATCGCTGTAATATAGAACATATATTACATGTACTATACAAGTCAGCTCAACACCGGTTTATGAAGAGACGTGAGTGAGTTGGGTTGTATGCCGCTTTGGACAATGTTTAGTTATATCACGGCGTGTCAGCTTGTGGAAGGAAAGACTATAGTGGTGCAAGTATTAGACGTTAACCCGTGTGGTGAAGCCCCAAAGGACGGATCTTGTGCTGACAAACTTAGAAACATAATCGTGGCGAACCGGGAATCGAACCCACGCCTAAGGGACGTAACTCTGCACAGCAAATTGCAGCACCTTAGACGAGTCAGTCCCTTGTCCCTTGTTAACCAAAACCCCTAACAAACCAGTTGTGGGAGTTCCATAGAAAACGTGTTCGCTTTCTTTCTATTTTCGGTCTTTAGTCTATTTTCACATGATTTTATCGCTGATTGCGGCGTTAAACAACAAACATGGTTTTATCAGTGTTACGGTAATTGGTTTATACACATCCACGTTGACTAAATATACTTACATTTCTGCATCTTTTAACTTCATTTGGTGTTGACTGTCCGGGTGTTGCTGGCCCGGGTGTTGCTGGCCCGGGTGTTGCTGGCCCGGGTGTTGATGAGGATTGCTATGAGGCTTGTGTGGGTGACCGGGGCGGTTCGTGTCGGGTATTGGAGGGGTGAAACAATACCAGGTATCCAGGAAGTAAGTTGCAAATATCATTACTATCAGCAACATCCATACCTTTTTCAAATCTGCAAGTATATATCTTTATGTAGGCAAGAAATGCGTATGCAAATATGCGTTTTAATATGTCATGTACAGAAGAGCATATACATTGGCAAAATAATCAAATGTTCACCGAGGTGAATATGAAAAATAAATGAGAAATGTATTCACATGAGAAACTTAAAGAGATAATTTTCATTACATTACGGAAGCATATTTCAATCATAATTGAAACTGAATTTAGAATTATACCGAAACATATTTTAATCACGATTGAAATTGGACCTTAATTTCGAAATTACTTCAATTTTTTGTTTCGTTTGTGTGCACACCTATTTTTATGGTGTCACCTCCAAAAACGCAAAAGTTATTGAGGTCAGTTCGTATAAACAAATAATACCTGACAGTTTATTTAATTATCAACATAAAAAGACTGTAGTTAGGACGCCATGCAACATGACTACGGAAGTATTTCGCGGACGGGCATGGCCTATTTTATTAGGTTTATAGAAGTTTTAACGAAAAAAAATGTTTGGTTAAACAATCAAATGCTATGGAAATACTAGCAACTTATTTACATGTTGATAAACATACTCAAGTTCTTTGCTAGGTAACAGGTAACCTAGTGGTTGATGGCATGATCATGCTGTCGGGGTACGTTGGCACACAGGACGGTCAGATGTTGACATAAACTTCATTTATGTTTTCACGAAAATCATATGGTAATTTGTTTGTTGTTAATGCCCCACTCAGCAATTTTACAGTAACATGAAGGCGACCCGCCGTAACTCATCATGTCTGGACCAGACAACCCAGTGATTGATGATAGGAGCAATGATCCATGTCGTCGGACTTCAAGACACGTTGTCAACCAAGTCACTCAGTCGGACCAGCTCATCCATCCACCATAGATTGTTGGGAACTATGGCAACTTAAATAACTATATTGAGCTTGTATATATTTTAAATGATTACAATATTATTTCAACACTAGGTAGTATGTGCTACAAAATGGCTGTCCGAAGAAAATCTCACTACCAATAACACCATATATATTTATATTGCTTTTTATATGTTTTTACTCAATTTGTTTTACTATGTACTATGTATGGTCTCTTATAATCCACACCGTCGGTGGCAGAGATACTTTATAGTGTACTTTTATAATAATGTATGTGCCTATAACCTGTATCTCCGATGAGACAAAAATAAACAATTTGTCATTGTCAAAATAAAATATTTGTCATTGTCATTGTCACTATTCTACCCCGAAATCCCCGCGGGGAGGAGGTGGGGGGTGTTGGGTGGCTTTAGAATAGTTTCCCGGGTAGCTGGCATACAATGATTGGCAGATGCACAACCCTTGGTGACATCTAGTAACTCCATTGCACACAGCTTACAGGTGGCGGTGACCTTGTGGAAGTCACCGAGATCTGCGCAGACTACAACAGATGCAATGTGACACCTCGCCATATCACGGGATCTCATGTTCGGCCATACTTAGTCAGCTATTTGAATAAAAGTATAGGACAATCCAACCTCGAACAAGGGTGAATGTACGAGAACGGTATCCATACCCCATTTAAGGATATTGATATCCAACTATTTCCTCGTCTTGAGTTAGCGTGTGAAAGAAGATATACCGGTGTAAAGTCTCTTTTGTGTTGTGGTGAAAATGTCGTCCTGAATTTGTGCCACTGGTCAGGGTCCAGTCAGTGTAATAGCACACGAGGGGCGGTTTGTTTTGGTTGCTGGTAGTGAGACGAGGAGGTCGGGGACAGCGCTTTGAAGGGTGGAGCTGTGGTGATTCAGGCTGAGTTCAAATCCTGATTGATAATGCACAGGATGATGGAAGTGGGGGTAAAAGGATGTCACAGACAGCAGACCTACGAAGATGGAGAGACAAAGAGAAGAAAGAGAGGTTGTAGTGAGGATAAGAGGACGAGAATAATGTGTAAATGTACGTGTTGATTTTAACTTGTCATCCTGTTTGATTATTTAGTTTGGGAAACAAGTGCTGAATGATTATTCAAAGCATTTCATCTAAATCCAAGACGTATTTGAAGACGTGTTTATGAATCCTGGTCGTTTTCGTAAGATGCTACACTACAGCGTCCAGGTCTACCTTGAGATGTGGCCATTTCAGACGGTCACCATCCAAGCTCTGTCCACAACAAGCAGCCATTGTGTCCACCCGATCTCTATTGTGATCACATAATACAAGCGCGAGCACACGTGGCATTATTGCCTAATAACATTCAGCAATGAAGGGCAGATCCCGGAGATTAAAATATACATGTACTTCACAATTCAATTTTTTGCATATGACATATCTGTGTCTATCATGTCTATGTTATTCATAATTCTGTTCATGCAAAAATTATCTAACATGTCTGTTAATTCAACAATTATTAAATGCATTGAATATTTGCTTGTTAACAAGCAAGACTGTTTGTGACTGTCAATTGTATCAAAACATCTGTAACCTTCACATCTACGGGTCCTCCTCAAGATTGTGTGCTCTCTCTCTTGTTTTATGTATTTTATACACAAATGACTGTATCAGTACTTTTAATAGTTGTTTAACCGTTACGTTTGCAGATGACGTAGCGCTGGCCGGATTCATGAAACAGTCTGAAATTGATTATTGCTCCCAAATTTCAAATATTAATAGCAAATAATTATAGATTTTAGAAAAAAAGAAGACCGAAATTCCGTATGTTGATTTGTTTGAACAGTATAAGTATCTTGGCACCATTACCGATTCCAAACTTGGAATGCCAACGCGAACATATTTATAAAAAAGGCCAAAATGATCCTCTCTCTCTCTCTCTCTCTCGTTCTCTCTCTCTCTCTCTCTCGTTCTCTCTCTCTCTCTCTCTCTCTCTCTCTCTCTCTCTCTCTCTCTCTCTCTCTCTCTCTCTCTCGACTAGTCCTTGTTTTATCCCATTAATCCGAGCGCCAAGTCGATCAATAACAAGTACCATTTTAACGTCTTTTACTCAGGACAGACACTCTATTCACAGGACCACGGAGTAGCTCTTACCAAACATAAGATCGATCTGTTCAATGAAATTAATCTAAAGTCACCTGACACACAATGTACTCGATTGGGCTTTTTGAGTTTAAGGTTCATGCTTATATCCTGATAACTATCGGAAGCCTGACAGTTGGCGAGCCACGAACCTGGGGCACTCAAGGCCACACAACCCGACTTCAATAACACATAAACACATGTTTGTAAGCTCCCGTAAATTACATTTAAATCTTATGAAAGTTGCAAACGGCACGACTTGCAGTTTATGCACGTGAGCATTGAACAATGTCCCCAAATTCACATTAAACATACGCACTTCCTTGTACATAACATATCACCGCCTCCGTGGTCTAGATGATGGAGCGCTTGCTCGGGGAGCGAATGGTTGATCTCATTGCCGCATCATACCAACAGGCATTCAACGATGGTACTTGTTGTATACTTCATAATGTATCCGAGTGGGGTATTTATGTTAAACTGCGGCATGATATCTCAGTGAGCGAGCGCGATAAATTTCAACTCACATAATACGCACTGAACACGTACATGTCAAATCCACATGACAAAATGCAGTTTTATGTATATGGGTCATGTCATGAGTGGGTGAGTTGGCGAAATCAGATGGCTGGTGAAGAGACGTTAGTGAGTGAGTTGAATTTAACGCTGCTTTGAACAATATTTCAGTTGTATCACTGGTGAGGAAGGCTCACTACATCTGCACTTCATGTTGAGTCAGTGAGTCAGAGCCCAGTCGGTTACGCTATTGGGACCGAGACTACAACACTAACATTTAGGTACATTATGTGTATAAAATCCATTACTATGTATTTCTGATAGTTACATACTTATTCTAAAATAAAAAAAACGACAGTAGTTCGCTCAAAATAGTTTTAGGCGAGTCGGGTCAAAATATTTTTAGGCGAGTTGGGTGTATCCCGCTCGAAGTAGTGCGAGTCTAAACAGTACGGGAATGTCAATAATATACCAATGATCAGTATGAGGGCCTCATGTAGTGGGTTAAAAAAGAGCTTTTATGTATTATGGTTTTATAAGATTTGCGACTTTACTTTAGAGAGAAGATATCCATTGACACGAGTACTGACGGGGTAATCAAAGATAAAAGTGGTGGACAACGTCGACATACTAATGCATATGAATGCATGCGGAAATGGTTATTTAAGTGCCCCCCCCAAAAAAAAAATAATAATTTTAGTTTCACATTTTAAGCACACGAGACCCCGTTTAACTTGGATCACCCATACAGTTATGTTTTCACTGGTACTATGGGGGTGAAAACAAATCGACAGAAGGACGGACGACTGCAAAATAACTCAGCTGTTTTTCGACACGATTAGGCAACATTACCTACTGACTGTCTGAAGGGGGGTGGGGGGTGGGGAGGTTACCCCCTGCACCCCGTCCACTGAGTCCTTCTCTGATAGTAATAACCACACGGATACTTTATGATAACTAGTATATACGCTTTTGGCGCAATCGCTTCTGTTACAGTTACCTCTTTAAGTGAGCTTCAGTGTGCTCAGTGCGTCACGCAACAAATAAATGTCATGATACAAAATGGCGACAAGCATATATACTCACTCCTTCTGCGCATGTCGACAGGCCTGTAGCGCCTGAGACCACGGAAAGTTTTCGTTAACATCCTTATTCCATACATGAAGATTCTCCTGAGCGGTGACACTTAAAACTGGTTTTGTAGAAAATCCACACCGTGTCCCCGTTTCACATCAGCCGTCGTTATAACTGTCTTGTTGGCAATGTACAGTTGTACATTTCTTTACCAGCACATCAGAAATACAGGAGTTTGCTATCAATAAGTTGTCTATTTCGTATCTGTGTGGACCCGATGTTTTCCTGGTGTTTGTTTCATCCAGCGGACACACCCAACCTGTACCAGGCGATCTAGGTGACCTATACCACAACGGGTTTACCTTCAATTCAAGTGTGTCTTGTGAAAACGGGTTATAATAACTTCGCGTTGTCCTTTAACAAAACTGACTTGCTAACAGGGTCGTGGTTTTCGTACTGGTATGTTTCGATGCGGATCATGTACACACTGTTATATAACCGTCTTTGTTTCGTGTCGGCTGTCAGGACATCTAGAAAGGAAATACAGTCAGCTAAGCTTATCACAATGGTTGATCTCACAAATAAGCTCATGTGCACAATAGGATCAATTCAAGTGGTAAGCTATGACATAGCTTCCTTGTCACAACACAATGTCAATAATTAGGAATGTCAATGTCAGCCCAATTAATTAGCGCAATCTGTTAGAACAACACGTGCATGTGTGAAATTCCCTTAAAAGACGGTTCCACACAAATTGAAGTTCAAACAATGTCTGCCACTGTAATTCGCTCAGTACACCCAGGGCGGCAGCCTGATTAGTCTAATAAGAAAGTCTTGTTTTAGAGATTAACATAATCTCGTTAACACCTAATAGTGTTTTAGAAGTGGATCTCTGTGTTCGGAAGTACACGCGAGTAATTTTACATGTTCCAGGGTGCTGTTGCTCTAAAAAAAACCTGATTGACGGAAATATTTTATACAATTACATATACGAACATTAACATTTATTCCATGACAACATATTGTATAGACACGTACATTTTTATTTAATTAACTCGGTATTTAAAAATTAAATTATATAAAGTTATTTTTCATAATTACCAGATGGAATGAAACTGAAGTCTACCAGGTCTTGTAAACGAATCTTATCATTGTTTATAGGCATTACTTAGAAGTTAACAGATGACAAAGTAGACACAATTTATGGACAACAACTTCTTTAATACTGTAAAGGCAACGTTTCGGTATAGATCATTATACCAAGCAAGGAATCTTTTCATCTTTATAACTTACGTGTGTCATTTCATACTTTTCATGCAAAAAGAGTGATCAGTGCCACACGCGTCAAGACCTCGGCAGAAACGTGGAGTCCTTTTCCAAATTTGACGCATCAGTGACCAAAATGAGTACCCTTTTTGACTTGTACCATATGTTATTGTGTTTTGTTCAGGTGGACAACTGACTTGCCTGTGCATGTGTTTGTGACGGGAGCCAGTGATGATACGCTAACTTTTTCGCGAACATTTAGTTGATTTAAACATAAATTAGTTTTAGTCAATGGATCTGGATCGGTAAACCTACCAAAAAGGCTTATGTTAATACCTCTCCAGTATACTATACAAAGAAGGCATTATACAAAGTTGTACATGGTGAGAGACTAAATACTTTCAACAGAAGCAGACAGTTTATTCAGTATGCAAAGCCAGTACAGTTCAGTTTTAACAGATACATAAAAATCAACGTGATCTTGAACATAGTATAAAATATTCACCTGAGTCTAAATACATGTTTCAAATACATTGCTAAAGATTTGATAACTTCTTCATTGGTCGAATTCAACAAATTGATCATCAATTGATTGTCTTTATGCGTAATATCTAGATTAGGTAGTAACTTTAATCTCAACGTTTATATTTTTCATATATAAAAAGAACATGAAACTCGTCTTCATTCTCCTGGTTGGTACAGTTAGAACATATACAATTTTCAAAATCACTATCCTTGGTTCTACGATATTTATTGACAAGGAAGTTATGGAGAGATATTCTCAATTTACAAAGAGCTCTCAACTGAGTTTTATCTTGTAATATGCTTAAATATTTTTCTGGTTGTAACAATGATTTAATACCAGCATAATGCTTGAGAAAGTGTGAAGAGGAAACTTGTTGGTGCCAGTTTTGCTGAAATATGTCTAATAATCTTTGTTTAAATTTGAGCAAAAACAGTTTTTTATTACCACTGTCTTGTGAGATCCATACAAAGGAAAATCCAGTATTAAATAGTTTGCTTCTAACACCAGACACCCAATTCGTTTTCCCTTCACCATCTAATTGCTTTAGCATTTTGTAACATTGAAATGGGTACCTGTGAGCTTCCATTTTTAATAATTTTATCCAATATTTAACAACACGCAGCTGGCTATGTACGTATATACTACAGCGACCGGTTTCACCAAGTACTGCCTTATTTGAAGCATATTTACCAATGCATAAACACTGCTTAAAATACAAAGTGTGAACTTTCTTAATGTATTCAAAATATTTAATGCCCCATATTTCCGAGCCATATAACAAAATGGGTAGAATTTACTATCAAGTATCGAATTTGCTGTTTAAAATGAGATGTATTTATTTTCCTTGAATAATTTATAAACAGGAAACATTGCCTTAGATGCCTGCAGCGCTAATGTCTTACAAGCCTTGGACCAATTTAATCTTGAGGACATTAATAGTCCTAAATACTTATAATAACTTGCAACTTTTAAATGTTTATCACCATATATCCAATTGTCATGCTTCGATACAATTCCACCATTTCTATAAACAATAACATTGGTTTTCTCAAGGTTTACTTCTAAACCCCACTTAATACAAAAGAACTGCAATACATTAAGCTGTTTCTGCAAGCCTACCACATAGTAAGACACCAGAGCATCATCATCCGCGAAAAGCAGTAACATAATATCTATAATATCTTGTGTCACAAACACACCATGGTGACATTCTTTGTAAATTTCAGAAACAAGTTCGTTTATTAAAAAAATGAATAAGACTGGGCTCAAGATGCAACCTTGACGAACACCACTGGAAGTAGTAAAACAAGGAGTTGTACCCGAGTCAGTTTTAATACACGCTTTGACTGAGGAATACAAATTCTTAAGAACTATTGACAGTTTTCCACGACATCCTTTAGTGATAAATAATTACAGCAGTTTTTTTTCTGTCAACGTAATCAAAATCTTAGCGGAAATCAACAAAGGTCCAACAGAGGCAAGTACTCATGAACAACAGATTGGTGTAATGAGTAGTAGTAATATTAGTATATTCGGGTTTTATAGTCTCACGTTAGTTTAAACCTTTTGGAATGAAGTATGTAGGAATGTCCTGATTTCAAAATATCTAACTTCTTAGTTATTGTAAAATTATTTTTACCATTCAATATTATGTCAAGATCAACTCCCTCAGAGTAGAAGAATAGATAATTTCTTATATCATTATAAATGGAATAGGGAAATAATTAGTGTCATACATTTTCCTGCATATATTCACAAGAACAAGCTGCATTATCAGGCATGTGTCTTTCATATCGATGGCAGTAAGATCACTACAACCAAGTCTGAAGCGAGAATGTACAGTCGGACAAAATACGAGTATACTTCCAAAATTTAGGTCAATATAGAAATTGGTATTTTTATTCCGTTTTAATAATCTCATAAATTCACCAACTGTTTCTGCATTAATGACATCATCAAATGTCCCAGGGCTACGATTTAGTATATTATTTTGTCCTCCATCTCATAATCTGTAAGTTTTGACGCTCATCACAGTCACAGAACATCGGGTATCTTCACTATTTGACAGCTATACATAAACATTTGCTAATGGTCGGAATCGTCCAATGGACGGCTTTTAGCATGAAAATGGAAAGGGTTTTGTATGGAATACTGTAAGGGACATTCTCGCGATCTCGCATTCTCGCGATCTCGACCTTTGGAAACGAGGTAAATATGCCCAAAACACGAGAATGCGAGATCGCGAGAACGCGAGATTTTGGCCAAATCTCGCGTTCTCGCGATCTCGCATTCTCGTGTTTTGGGAGAATGTCCCTTACAGTATTCCATAGTTTTGTATTATAATCCTGTTTTCAGTACCACTTGTATTGCCTATCCATTACGCTCCCAATACAAATTCTTGACGAGTGATGCCTCCCATGTGAATGTGTTAGGATATATGGATTCATTATCTGTACAAAAAGCAATTAATGAAGTATTTCATTGAATATTTGTGATCGGACCACTACTCTTAACATTATCTTCGTTATATCTTTTGTCTCCAATTGGTAGTTAGAATCTGTAGCATCAATGAAGACAGGGTTGACTTATAGATTTTAACTTAATTTTTCTTTCAATTCGACAGTTTATGAAGTTACAAGCACATGTACCGATGCTCACATTGAAATCCTGAAGTCAATCCTGTTTTCGTAGACCCTTGTTATAACAGTATTACCTTTCCGATCCATAAAATATTTTCTGACATGTAATTACCTTTGTGGAGAAGCAAGCGATCATTAATAATGCCTGTCACATATATTAATCACATAATTTTACTTTTTAAAAGCTGATAGCAAAAAAATGGTGTTTTGAAAAGTGTATATCTGAATGATATTTTACTGACGCTTTCAACACTTGTCTTTTGGGAGTTATTCAATGACAGGGGTGAACGTGTTCATGAGATGGTATCTCCATTGTGAGTGAGTCAGTGAGAGTGGTTTTACGCCGCTTTTAGCAATATACAAGTAAAACTCTAAGGACTTCCTCATCAGTGAAAGAGAGGTTAAGATCATCATATATTTCTGTGTGAGAATACACGTTGGATCCTCATCGTGTATATCTGTAATCAGAGTGTGAGTGAGTATGGTTTTACGCAGTTTTTAGCAATATTACATCACGGCGGGGGACACATTGTACCAGTGTGGGGAATCGACCCCTGGTCTTCGGCGTGACTAGCGAACGCTTTAACCACTAGGCTACCCCACCAGCCCTGTATCCCCATGGTATGGGCATGGGTGGATATCCAGCGGTTTAAAGACTGGGAGGTTTCCTCGTGGTAAGTATGTGGGTTGTATGTAGTTGTTGAGCGACTGAGTGGGTATTCCCGTGCTAATGGTGAGGGTGGTATCCTGTGGTTTAGAGAGTGTGAGTGAGTGAGTATGGTTTTACCCCGTCTTTCGCAATATTTCTGTAATATAACGGCGGGGGACACCAGATGTGGGCTTCTCACATTGGCGTGAAGAGCAAACGCTTTAATCAGTAGGATACCCCATCGCTCCTTAGTGGTTGAGAGACTGGATGTGTATCCTGTGGTAAGGATGTGGTGGTATTCAGTGGTGTAGAGACTAAAATGTGTATCCTGTGGTAAGGATGTGGTGGTATTCAGTGGTGTAGAGACTAAAATGTGTATCCTGTGGTAAGGGTGTGGTGGTATTCAGTGGTGTAGAGACTGAATGTGTATCCTGTGGTAAGGATGTGGTGGTATTCAGTGGTGTAGAGACCGGGTGGGTATCCCGTGG